AAATGAGGACGTTCACAAACACATAAGCTTCACTATGGTTTTTTTTTTTTTTTCTCCACGCTGATTAGTTACCCCTTGTGTCTGTTCCAGGTAAAAGGGATAAGTCTTATTTAGCCATATTTTTGCAAGGGAAAATAAGTACATAAGAATCTGGAGTTTCCATATGAGTGGAAAGTCAGTGCATGGGCTTGGAGAATACAAATGTCTTCTTTCTTCCTCTTCACATATTTAATGTGGATTCTTCTGGTAAAAGCAGGAAGGAAGTGAACAGGAAAAAAAGTAAACAGGAGGATGTAAAAGAAGTAGATAAATGCTCCTGAGATGCTTGCAAGAGGGTAAATGTAGAGCATGTAACATCTGTTGCTCTTATGAGCACATCAGATTGATGTGGTTTATCCTGAAGACGGGATTAATTCAATAAACAAGACAGTGCTGAGGCAGAAGTGAGGAACAGCTGACCCAAGTGAGGCTGCATGAAATAAACTGTTACGGAAAGGACAGCAATTGAAACTAGGAAAGGTCTCTGAGGTGTCATGCTCATGGCAGCATGCAGTGAGAGAAGAAACAGAGATGTTGTATTAGCATGACACACATGCTCTGTGTAAACTATGATTCAAAAGTACGTTATATTCTGAAAGCAAGTTACTTTGCCAAAAAAAAAATGTTTCTAGTGCTTTGTGCTCTTGTGTGACTGGTTTAGAAGAAAGAATAACTTCAGCAGCTTTGTGTAGTGGTTAAAAAGATGCTAAAATGTGAAGATAAATGTAATAAGATGGATTGTAATTCTAAACAATCAATGCTGTTAATTTTTCATTTTTAGAGAGGTTTTATGTGTATTTATTTACTACTTTGAGTGTCTTTTGCCCTCAGTGTTTGGGGCAGCTTGCCTGCTTTGTGTACAAAGAACACTGGCTGCTGACTTTGGTCTTTTCGCATCCTTGCAGGAGAGGATACTGAAACAGGGTCCCCATGAAGCAAACACTAACTTGCACTGCAGCCTTTTAAGCTAAGAAATTGTAAATTCTTAATCAAATGGAAGAAAGACCATTTTATTACAGCTTTATGCTTTTACGTAGTCCTTATTGCAAACAGGGTATGCTGCTCTCCCAGTGAAGGTGAAGAGGAATCTTCCTCAGTATCTGCAGCTTCTTGAATGTTGAGTTCTCCCCTTCTGCCCACCAACACTAACTTGCATCTGCACAAGCCAATGTCTGCTGACACAAACTGATTTTCTCTTTACTGGGGAGGATGTTAAACCTCTCTGCATGCTGCACCCCCCCGCCCAGTTCACTGCTGCTCTTTCTCCCTACCCAACCCCAGCGTAGCTTGAAAGGCAGAAGAAAGGTGTTTGCACCCTCTGAAGGGTACTGTTCAGATCAGCAGGTTCAGAGGAGCTGTTCCTGTGGAAGAAGCTCTCCTTGACTTGAGGGGTGGTGGTCAGTGACCTGCTGTGTTCAGCTCTTTTGGATGCAATGCTGAGCAGGGGCTCAGGCTGCTTTCGCTGATCCCATCCAGAGCAGGGCTTGGCCCAAATGGTAATCACCTCATACTCATGTTTTGCAGAGTAGAGTAAAAGGTTATGACAAAACAACTGTCTGCCCTCTGGCTTCATAAGAGATCACTAGAAAATCCTTCTTTTCCCAGCAGATTGTGTTTTAGCAAAGGAAATTCTTCAGTATTAGTAGCAGATGAGATATATATTTGGGTAGAATCTCTAGAGATAAGATATTTGCCTTTTTTATAATGAACCCTTATTCTCAAGGGGTTAAATCATTCTGGGCTGACACTTGCAAGATTTTAACACTGATGGGGATTTAAAGTGGTTTAGCAGCTATGAAATGAAATCCTTCAATAGTTTCTGATGCTTAAACAGAGTTTCAAATATGCATGACTTTCAGTTTTTATGTGGAGGTTGTAACAAGCTTCACCAGTGGTTAAAGTACATACTCAGTACTTTAGTATGTATGTAGAGACTACACCAAATGGCTCTAGGAGGGTCTTTATCATCTTTAAAGCACAAATACATTAATAAAAAAAATACGAGGAAAAATCTGCCTTGTATCTATGAGATCAGTGTGGCTTTGAAGAGCATGACTTGTGCCATCTCATACAAGGAGGTGGGAAAGCAGGATTTTATTTAACCCTCTTCAGTAGAACATTCCTCTACCATATGTGAAACTAATGAATGTAAACTTGTGCCTACTTTTTCTTGATTTCCTAAAGGTGTAAAAACCTGTTGTTTTGCTTCTTTCTTTTCCTTTGCAGATAATTTTTTTATTTTTAAATACCTTTAATCTTAGGATGTGGGCATTACAAGTCAAATAAAACTTTCCTTCACATTTGTGCTTTTTGTTTCTAAGTTTCCTGGTAAAACTTGCTCAGTCTGGTTTCTGATTTAGGTGACAGTTGTGGTGACACCTCTGGTGCTAGAGTGATGGTATAAAACAAGGCTCTTTCTTCCTAGAGTCAAAATGCTAAACTTACAGCAAGTAAACTTAAGGGTTTTGTTTGCATGGGGAGTCTTCCTGGTTCTACTGAAGACAAGTACTTCAATTAAGCAGGCTATAAAATAAACAAGACAACTCATTGTACTTTGAGCAGTGGTTGAGAACTGTGGTGTTTCATTTTCCAGAATTTTCTTTTTCTGTGGTGGTTTGATTGTGTTTCGGTGTGGTGTGGGTAGGCTAGCAGACTATGATAAAGTGATAACAGAAATCCCAGTGAGGAGCAGAATCTCTTAAACATTGTCCAAGTTCTTGTAGCATACTTATCAGCCTCCCAAACTATGTGAAAGAAACCCAGAGTAAAGACTGTGGGTTGGTATCAGAGATGCCCATCTGCTGAGCAATGCAGGAAACTCGTCTTCTCCTCTTCTGAAGCAATTACAGTATGTTTAAATACTTTCATTTTCAAATGATACAGAAACCAGATTGAGTCAGATAGGCTGTTTGCTTCCACACTGATTAAGATTTCATCCATACACTTTCAAAAAAAAAAAAAAAAAAAGCACCTTCATTAACATTAATGCAAACCTGCCATGAACTATGCTATATGCAAATAAAATGTTCATGAATAGGAAAATTTTTGTCTCATGCCACACCCTGAACGTTAGTTGAAAGAGTTAAAATGAGTTTATCTTAGTTTCCATGGTGTCAGACTGTATACTCATTACATCTCCAGAGCAGCTTTGTGCTTTCTTATGCTGAAGGAACAGAGCAAAGGCTGCTCTGTGTATTGACACTTTCTTCTTATGTTCAGGAAGGAGTGGGTGAATATAGCAATGAAGCCCACAATTTTCAGTACTTGTCATGGTACATAGATCAAATGTAATCCACTCTGCCAGCACAACTCTATATTCAATAGCTTGGAAAGGAGGAGATTTATTTAACTCGAATAATGAAAGCAGTAAATCACTCATGCTACCTTGTAGCAGTCTTCTGCAATGAACTGAACTTCTACAGTAAATATTTGCTCTTTCTTTTCAAATAAGAAGAATTTAATGCTATTTTTCTTCTTGCAATAATGCCAGGAAAAGTATCAACTTTGAAGAGGCTGTTGAAATTAATTGGACATAGTCATAATTGCTATCTGAAAACAGATGTGTTACCACTGCAGGAAAAAGGAGCGTTCTCCCTGTTCTGATATCTTACTTCATGGTGAATGCGTTAAGGGACTGAAATCCTAGCCCATGTGCTTTACTGACATATAGAAATTAAAGGCAACCCCTTGCCAATGTTTATCACTTCCTGTGCTGCTCTTGAGTATTAATTTTTCTGTAAGTTTTATCTTCTAAAACTGAATTAACTTTGATGGCTTGGTCTGAAGGTGTATTTGCCTTCTACAAGCTTTTTTTGTGTAACACTGCTCATTTATCTCCCTTTTGAAATGCTGCAGTTTGTGTTCTGTTTTTTGCTCAGGCTCTCCTGGCAAGTAGTCTCTGGTCTCACATATGGGAACATTAATTTCAGTTTGGTCTTCAGAGTGGGTGTTTTCAGCGGCCAGAGGTATTCTGGGGGAAGAAAAAAGAAAAATACTGCCTGGACCAGGTGTTGCCTGGCCTTTGCAGTACCTTGTAAAGAATGTGCAGCGTATCAGCAGCAGCATCCTGCTTTCTCTTGAGAGTCTGGAAGGACTTTATTTCGTGCTTTGTTTTCACATGTCCATGTTCACAGAGGAGCTGCTGTTCCTTTAGAGAGCTATAAAGGAGATGTGGCTATGAAAATCCATCTTCTTCCTAATGTTATTAAAAAAAAAAAAGGCATTTTCAATTTTCAACAGAGTTTAGGCCTTATCAGTTAAACACTCCTGTGCAGGAGCAAGTAGAGATATTATGCTTCAGCTAGTGCAATAATCTTGTTACGTAGCAGTATCTGTAGCAATACCATTTATAAAATGATTCCCTTTTTAAAAGGCACATCTTTTCACCCTTGGAAATAGTGACGAGAGAGAAGGCTGCTTTGCTTTTACTTCACTGGCTGTGGGTCCAGGGGGTCCTCATTCCCTCTCCAGACCCCGCACCCTGCCCTCGGCGGCAGGAGCGCCCGTGGGGCGGCTGCAGGGAGAGGGTGAGGGGGTGAAGGGGAAACCCCCCCCCAGGGCCCGCGGCGGGCCGCAGCCGCCATTTTAACGCCCGAGGGGCCTCAAGCCCCTTCCCCAGCCCCCCGAACCAGCCACCCCAGCGCCGCCACCGATTGGCTCAGAGCTGGCGGCAACGGGAGCCGATGACTGGCTAATCTGCATCGCCCCGTTCGCCAATGACGGAGGGCAGCGAGGCCCGCCTTTCTTTCGATTGGCTTGCCCGCTACCTGCGTCCTCCTCCTATTGGCTATCGGCGGTACTCGGCTATTGGCTCTGCCGCTCCCCGGGTTGCATTTTTAATTGGGTCGCTGTGGGTTGGCCGGCGCCTCACCTGCCGCGCAGCGTCATTGGCCCGCCGTTCCCCGCTCCCCCGCCCATCGCTCGCACCGCCCCTAAAGCCCGTTCCGATTGGCCGTGGTGGCCCGGCCCGGTATCCGGGTAAGATGGCCGCAGTCGGAGAGTGCTCGCTCCCTGCTCCGTGGCGGCCGGTCTCCCTCACTCACGTCGAGTATCCCGCAGGTAAACGCTCCGTTTCGGACCCCCCCCCCCCCCCGCCTCTCGCTCGGCCTCCCCGGTGGCCGCCGCGCTCCGTTGCTGGGCGGGCCCCGCCCGCCGCTCCCACGGCTCCCCTCAGGGCCGGCCTGCCCGCTGCCAAATAGTGAGCCATTGAGCGGCCGGCCGGAGGCGGCGAGGCGCGCGTGCGCGCTGGGGGCGGTAGGACCCGCTGCTTGATTGTGAGCCGGCGGGGGGGGGGGTGGCGGTGTATGTGGAAAACTCAACGCTGCGCATGCGCCCTGGCGAGGCGCCCTGCCCCAGGGGCTGCCGAGCCCCAGGCGGAGAAGGGGCTTGGGGGGGGGGGGGGCTCTGTCCCGCCCCCGTGGGGCCCTGGGGATTGGCCTGCCCAGCCCTCCCTTGTCACTCTCCCCTCGCCACACCGCCGCCTCGCCCGCCCCCCCCCCCCCCCCGTAGCCCCCAGGCACGCCTGGCCATGTGCGGCATCCCCTGGGCCCTGAGGGTGCGGGTGTGCCCGCTCCCTACCTGCGCCAGCCCTCCGTGGCATGGCGGGGCCGCGTGTCCCCCTCCCTGCCCTGCTGCCGGGTGTCCGGGTTGATGCTGGAGGTCTCACTTGGTGTGTCAAGCTGGCCTTGGCGTGCCCTCCTGGCATCCACAGCCCTGAGGTGGGCTGTGGGAAAGGGCTGGAGGGTGACAGGCGCAGGGCTTCCTGTAGGTCAGTGCTTGGTGAGGTGGGTTTGGGCACAGTCTGTGGTGAAAAGCGATGGGTGCCAGTGTGCGGGATGGGCTGTTCCAGCTGGGGCGGTGCGGTGATCCAGCGGGGTCCTGTGCTGTGTCCCTGTGGCACTGCGTGCCGGCAGCCTGGCTCACGCTGTGGTAGGATGAATCCCCGTGTGCAAGAGCAAATGGATCTGTGTTCAGAGAGTGGCTGTCTAAGTAGTGTCTCATTAGTAACTGTGGTCTGTAGGAGCTCCTCTTCAGGTGCTTTGTGCTGTGCTCTTTTTGGGTGAGATAGAAAAACTTTTTTTTTTTTTTTTTTTTTAAGCTGGTTGTTGTAATCAAAGGTAATAGAAAAATCAGGGTGTGACATGCTAGAGTGTAGGTATTGATAGTCTGGTCAAAATCTAAATTTTGTGTTAACGCTTTTTTCAATATTGCTAGTTCTCCTAGCAAGTCCCTAACTTGCCATAAAGTGTTGCTGTATGTCCTATTTCAATAGCTGGATTTTAGTTGCTGATAAAAGCTTCTCTCAGTAGTGCAATACCTAAAGCTTCTAAAGTGCTTAGGCATCCTCTGGGTTGAAAGTACCCATTTAGCCATAAGACTTGAAATGTGATCACACTGAAAAGGTCTGGTGCTGGAAATACATTATTTCTTGACCCCTGGCCCACCCCCCCAGTATGGCTGTTTTGTGGTTTTCTGTGATACTTTATGTGAAAGATTGGCATTTCTTCCACCCTGTATGATCTTTTGCCATCCCCCTTCTCAAATATATTAATGTGACAGTTTGGGGGAGACAGGGGAATAATCTTTCCAGTAGTACTGATATATTAATCTTTGTATGTTATCTCCTTAGCTGAACCTGGCAGTATACACAGAGCATCCTGCACTCTTATTTGTTGGATTGGTTTGGGAAATGAAGGTGGTTGAAATTACTGCACAAGGGTTATCTGTCAGATCTTAAAGAATGTGACATAATGCGATTATTTTCTTTCTGCATTGAGTGCTTTTATACAGGCAAATGGAGATGATTTTGTGGAGTGGGTAAATCACCACTGACATTAGGGTTATGTATTGAGGGGATAAACACTGTTTGTCTTAGATAAAGCATGTAACTAAAGAAGCCTATAAAGTGGAGGCAAAGGACTAAAACATTAAAACAGCTGGAGGTACAGAAATTTCTTAACTTTGGTCTAGAAAAATGGGTTGCAGTGGGGTGGTAGGTCTGATACTTTTACCCGGATTTAGGGAAAGTGCTCTAACTTTGTATAGAAAGCTGTTTACATTCTGTGTACAGCTTAAGTACAGGTCCATAAAGTTGCTAGATAATATATATTTATAAAATAGTGATGTTGGCAGTATGCTCAGCACAGTGGAGGTAATGTAGCCTTGTGCTGATGGAGAGGGGTCAGAATGAGAAATAGATCCTGCTTTTACCAACATAAATTATTAAGCTGTCTTGGCATGTCATACACTGTTGTGTGGCAGACATTGTCTTTTGCTCTTGGCTGATCCTGGAGGCTGCTGGCCTGGAGTGCAGCGTGCTGAACCACTGTGGCAACTGGCTCTTAAAATCTCATGTCTTTAAAGACTTCCAGTACAGAACTGCTGTCATTCCAGCTCTCATCTGCCAGGAATGATGGTCCTTCTCACTGTGACCGGGTGAAAAGCAGTCACTGCTGATTTCTGTCTGGCAGATGAAGCCTGTTCTTGGGCTTCTGCTTGTAATTGTGAAAGGGCAAAGTGTTTCCAGGACGGTGCTCATCTTCCCTGTCTTTATCTAATGTTTCCTTATCAGTAGTGATAGAGTGCAGAACTCCAAACACCCATCCTTACTGCTTGTGTGGCTCCTCAGTTCTCCAGGGCTTTCTGCAATGTCAACTTTGAGCAAGATCAAATGAGAAACAGCGGATGAATGCTGTGGTACTCAACTACAAACTGGTCTGAGTAATGGGATCTTGAAGAGCTAACTGAAATACTACTCATAGTAAATGTCAAGATCAAACACAGGGAGAAGAAACCAATAATGGCAGTGTTACTTGACAGTGTGTTAAAGCGTGCTGCTGAAGAGGACGGTTTTTAAAAATATTGTTCTGATACTGCTTTCAGAAATGTTTGGTCCTGGAGCTTTTCATATCAACAGCTGTACTTTGGTGGGACCAAGGAATGATCTGGCACAGTGTCAGGTTGCTGGCAAGTAGGCAGGAATAATCCTTCTTCTGTATGTCTTTCCAGTAATCAGCTGGTGATTGCGTCAGGATTGTTAAGTCCTTTGGAGGATATATAAAATCTATACTCTGGATATGTCTAATTGCTCTTTCAACCCATTTCGACTTTGGATCTCACAGTATCCTTGGCACTGAGCTTAGTAACTTAATGTGGTTGTTGTTTTCTGGTTTTAAGTCCACTGCTCAGTAATTTCATCACTCATGTTCAGTGAGAGATAACAAATGTTTGCTGTCCTAACATTCATGACTACAGAACTGGTGTATCTGTTTCCCTTTTTCAGCTGAAAATCCAAGTTTTTTGGTATTATCTGAATGGCTGCTGTTGCATACTTGTTATCTTTGTCCCCTATTTGCCTTTCTGTGTTTACTATCCCTTTTTAGATGGTGACACCAGAATTGCATAGTAAATTTTTGTAGTGCTGTAACAGTAACTTTTGTTTTGCTCTTAAAAACATACTTCTTGCCTTTTTGCCTGCTGCAGAGCACTGGACACTACTCTGAAGGTATTGGCTCACACTAAGCCTGAGGGTTTTTATTCGATAACAACTAAACTAAATCCTGTCATGTTGTGTGTATAATTAGGGTTGTTTTTTCCCGTATGCAGTGCTTTGCATGGGATGACTTTGTGTTGCAGACTTAAAACTCATCTTCAGGGACTTCCTGTCTGTAGGGTGAGTTTCACTGGAGAAACATTGAGTTCCAGGTTTGTTTGGGTTTTTTATTATTATTTGGAGAAAAGAAAAAAAACTTCCTCTGCAGTGCAGCTGGGGTTCTTAAAGCTCTGGGACTTTTTGGACCTCCTCACATTAGACAAATTCTTTAAGGAAAGGAACCTGGCGTGCCAAACCCTTTCTCTGGAGAATGACAGGGAATCTTCCTGTTTTCTCAGTTGTGAAGGGTGTTCACTACACTCAGGCAGAGTTGGAGAGGCAAGCGTGCAGAATCAACTCATTGGAGCAAAGGTGCATCGGAGCAAAGGTGCTGGTGCTGTGTATGTACTTTGGCTTAGCAGTTCTTGTTGCTATTCAGTATCAGCACGTGTTGCTCCCATAGGAATGTTTGTTCTGATAACCCTTGCTGTGATTTCTGTTTAGGGTGGTAGCTCGCCAGTCAGGGCTCATTTTGTAGCTAAGTAATATCTTTTGAAAGAAGCAGATACCACTCAGTTGTTTGGCTTCTTTAATGAGGGGTTTTACATTTAATCTTCCTGCAGGAATTTCATGTCTGATATGTGCCTTTTATGCCATAATGTAAAGCCTCTTGAAGATATTTTTACTGTTCCGCAGTTTGTGGTATCAGCATATGCGCAAGTAGGGGAAATGATGATCCGTCATGAATATTTACTGGTGTAAATGCCTGTGACACACATACACTGCATGTTGTCTGTGCAACTTGCACTCATGCGTTTAGTCAAGAATATATGACCAGCAGCAGTGCCACAAATAGATGCTTCAATAGGAAGCGGTGGTGGTGGTAAAGCTAGATCTTGTGGTAGGATGTGGTTAGTCTGCTGTTGATTCACATTTTTTACATTATATACAGGTTAAGCTAATGTGGTAAAGCTTGGATGTTTCCACGGAAAGAATGCTGGGTAAAATGTTGAATTGGAGCAGAAGTAGATGCTGAATGAAGGCTAAAAAAAAAATAGTGTGCTTCTGAGCTATGTATAGTGTTTCACCTATTTATCTCTTGGGTGCCTAAAAATGAGGTAGTTGAATTCTTTATTTTTGCTTCTTGAGCCCCAAATGATGTCCAGGGAAGGCTGGACTTCAAAAAAGCAGAACTTAAAACAAAACAAAAACCAAGCTATATATTAAATAGATTCTGCTTTTGCATTTTTTCCAGAGGTTTTGTCCCTGTTTTTACTAGTTGGAGGAATTGCTTTAAAATTCCCAAGTTTACTAAAATGAAGAAAAAATAATTTTTATAAAAAGGTAGGGGGTGGACCTGCTTGCTAGATCTGACTGGACTTCAAACTGTCGGCTCTCCTGCAAGTCCTCTTTCTCTGGGAATAAGTCTCTGAGCGCACTGGAGCGTGAGAATAGATAGGAGTGACACAAGTAATCACGCTCTGAGGCCCCAGGAGTGCTGTGCGGTGATCAGCACTGGCCTTTCTCTCCGAGCTTGCTTTACCTTCTTCACTGGGGATTTCCAATCAATTCGGGGCTGGTTTAGTTAGCTCAGCTCTGTCCTGAACCTCTAATCTAGCGAGTATGTTTCTGATGGCGTTAGTGAGTTCCTGGTGTAGCTCCCAGGGCATAGCGAAAGCGCTGCCTTCAGTTAGTGCGCAGCTATTTATTTGCCGCCTCCCCTACAAAAAGTGGCTTCCAAATGTGATTTGGTTTGGTTGCTGTTAGCCACATTAATATGAAATATTATTAATGCTATCTCTGTTCTATTTTAAATGGACAGTTTAAATGTTTGGGGAGCTATTATGTTAAGATTGTTTGAGTAAAGGACTTGGTACTCTGCCTACAGGCAGCATCTGGGCGCGATGGTTTCTTGTTCTCCGCTTCAGTTTCAAGTGTGGGTTGTGTGCCAGTGAAGCCTGCATGTCTCAATTTATTGGGTATGTTACCAGATAACATAATGGAGGATCTTGAGTTTGGTACTGCTGATGCTATTTGAATTAAGAGACTACTTAAGTATTCTTCCACCATCTGCACAAGAAATAGAACCCCCCTGAGAAGATAAATAATCTGGTTTGGATTCTACTTGACAAAATTACGGCATTTAGTCTTGAAGTGCTAAACCTTTATGTACCATGCATTAAGAGAGTGAATGGTCTGAAACATGGTGATTCCTCGATGATGAGCTATCTTCAGTTGGTAACACTGGAATTGAGACTATTGGAAAGTATTCCTAAGGCTTTCGGGGTAGGTTTGATTATCTGATGGCTTGTCTTATGAATTCCCTCATCATTTACGATGGGATTCATTTTGTTGAGAGTGTGTGATTTATGTAAAACCATAAGGGGCTTGATTTTTCTATTGCCAGGTAACTGATATTGTCACTTACATCCACTTTGCATTACCATAATAAATTGCCATTCTGCTTTGGGAGCATTTGGAACCTACCTGATGCAAAACAAACTTGCCATATGGTGCAAGAAAAGTTTCAAATTCAGTGTCTTCTAACACTTTCCAGGTTAAAACCAAAATAGAACCTAACTTCAGTGAAAACCTCAGTATTCTTGGGGTTTTTTTCCTCCAAATCTTCCTAATTTCACTGGTTTTGCAAACTAAAATTCCTGCAAGTAATACTTGCTGATGATGTTGCTGGATCTCAAATCTAACCCAGTCTGGAATTCAAGAGGCATCTGTGCACTGCACCTGATGTAATCACAACTGTGTGGCAATAACATCAGCATCTTGAACTTTGTAGCAGTGCAATAACATTTTTTTTTTTTTTTATCAGTTCCAGTATTCAAAGGCTGAGGTTAAAGTCCGTTTTGCCAAGTGCTGTTTTAAAATGTGGGTGCGTGGGCTGGGGAGGCTCAGTATCTTGCAGTGGAATTGATCTAGGAATGAGTCCAATGCTCAGCCTTGCAGAGGCATCCTGTTTCCTTTTGAGAGGAGGGAGGAAGGATAAATTTATGTGGAGGCTGATCCTTTTGTTTTCAGTGATAGGATGGAGAAGATCTAGTCTCTGAGAACCAATATAGAAAGTACTGTGCCTCTTAAGTTGTTCACTGAGTTCATACTGCATTTTTGCAGTAACTACTGTTTTTAAAGGTTCTCTGGTAGGTAGTTCTTGCTCTCCTGATGTGAATTGCTGGTCTTGGAGCAAAATTAATCTGGTAATACTGTGTTTCCTCAATTTATGCTGACGTCTTCTCTCCAAATACTTTTGTATGTGTCCTTTTTCAGGAAACAGAGGCAAGAGAAACTTAGATCAAAATACAGAGCTGTTCTTTATTGTCGTTTGCCTGTTTCTGTGTCTGTGATAGTTCAGGATAAAGGTTTTGAGATACCTTATGACCTCTTGTGAGGTCCCGTTGCTGCTTCCCGATTCTCCCTGGGGGATAACTAGACTGTTAGCTACTTGGGGTGGAGGCTCAAAGTCACTTCTGTGTGATACAAGTGGGTTATTGGTTAAAAAGCAGTCTTCGCTTTTTCCCTTTATCTCCTGCTGTGTTTAGCTGTTTATTTTCTCCCCATTTTGCTAATGCTAGTGTTCATGCAGACACATGGTGAGACAGATTAGGGAGTTGATCCAGCTGAAAACTAACTCATTTTAGTATAGGAGTGGGAAAAGATATGTTTGGAGAGTGTTTGCTGGTAATTGCTGGCACAGGGAGGCAGTATGAATGAGGGGGAGGGAAAGACACTGCCTCTCTTGCAGGAGCCTGTGCTTATGTTGGATTAAAGTGATTCTGGGCCCACACCCATGGTCATTGTTGTAAATTGGCTGGCAGTAATCTCTGCTGAATGATGCCAAACTCCTCTCATCCCTGCTTTTGAACCTGCATGTAAGGACTGCTGTCTTCCTTGCCTTGGCTTCTCTTGGGCTGGAGCAGCAACACTCAGTCTGCAAAATGGAGACTTGCTGCAGTGCTGGGTTTGCCCCTCTGCTCTCACTGATTCAGGGCACCAACTGACCCATGCTCTGGTGGCAGGCAAGTACCTGTAGAGTTCAAACTGATTTATTTCTCTTGTTTGTTTCCCTAGGTGATTTCTCTGGTCAGCTTTTAGCTTATTTGAGTCTTGGTCCAATATTCATTATTGTTGGCTTTGTAACACTCATCATATTCAAGAGAGAGCTTCACACGGTGAGTCCTTCTCTCCCTTCTCAGCTTCTCCTTATGACAAAAGTCTTTTCCTTTGTCACCCAGTGCTCCTGTATTCACACTTCTTTTTCTCCCTTTAAAGAGCAAGCTTAGGTGAGGTGATCTTCCTGTCAAAGAACAGCAGGAGGCACTTATCACCTGTACCAAGTTAAGACTGCTTAGCCTTTGGTGACTTTTCTGTTACTCTGTGGTATGTTTTGGGCATTATCTGTCCAAAAACATCAGGGGAGATGTCTGATGAACTAAAGAATGCTGTTGCAAAGTGGGAACACTCCCAAGATCCAGTAGGATCATAGCACTAATAGGTTCCTGCAAGATGGGCAGCATATGCAGGAGATGGTGTCTGTAACTCAGTAGGATGTGCTTTCTTTGAACTACTGTGGCAGGAAAGGGGTTACAAAATAAAACCTACGGATTCCCGAGGGAGTGGATTTGTCTGTAAGGGCTGCTTCCCATCTGTGAATCAAATACCAGGGACAGAAGATAGTTGCTTCTGTCCAAATGATTAACAAGGGACTTTTTTTGTCATAATGCTTTCTGTCTGCTCTGACAGGTAGTTGGAATCAGTGTCATGGATAAATTCCCTTTAGGAGGTATAAACCTCTTGTAACACTTGCCCTCAGTAAACAGATAAAATAGGGGCCAGTGAAAGGATTTTGGCAGCAGATTTTTCATATAGAGCTGTGGTGTCATGGGAACCAATGGCTCAAGGGACCTGGGAATTGGACTTGTAGGTTATTAAGCTGATGCTAGCTAGGAGAGGCAGATGTTAAGTTTTGGGAACCAAAAGGTTTCTTGTTGACCTAAAAGAGAATAAGCTAGAGTAACTGTTGCACGAATTAATAGGGTTTTTTGAATACAGCGGCTTGTTGAGTGTTGGTAATGAGACAAGTGTTGAGGTTGATTCCCAGTTCTTTATGTGGGGAGTCACCACTGAGATGGAGATGCTAGCTGGCTTGCAGCAGCCTGACCCATAGCTCAGGACATAGAGTGAAAAAATTGCTTCATCATCTGGAATGGGACTGAGAGTTAAGGAGGCAGAGTATCATCACCAGCTGGGAATTTGATCACAGGAGCAGAACTAATTTAGGGAAGGTGTATGGACTATGGAATTAAAGAGTAAAAATAAATGCTGCCATTCTGGCTCAGTTCAGAATGTTACTTCATTTTAAACTGAGGACAGTGACATCAAGATGAAAATATTCATAGAGGGAAAAGCCAGAAAGCTTAAAAAGTCACCTTTTTAAAGCTATTTTCCCACATAACAGTGTGTGCACTCCCCCTGTTGGTTGTCAGGGAAAGACAATCCCTTAAAACCTGCCCTGTTACAAGAAGTCACTTTCTACACTAGCTGGTAGAAGTATGTTAACAGAATTACTAGATAGTGTAATTTTTGTCTCTTTGTGTATCATCTGCTGAAAAGCTGCATATACACAGTGTGTTGCCAAATATGCAAAGTGGGCTGAAAAAGAAATGCTTTTCTTAGGTAGAGAATTTGAAGTCACTGGTTTTAACTCTAGTAGTCAAAAAAGAAAATTAGAAACATATGGTTTGGAGTTTTGTCAACAGAGAGAGCCTGGTAAGTAGATAGATCATTTAGATAGGGTGACACAGTTGTCTTGCCTTTACAGATCTCTTTCTTGGGAGGGCTGGCATTCAACGAGGGAGTGAACTGGTTAATAAAAAATGTAATCCGGGAGCCTCGGCCCTGCGAAGGTATGGTATGGCCCACTGCTGTCGTGGTGTTGGTTGAGTTTTGAGTGGAATGCTAACTGGGGGTGGGTTAGAGGGTATTTTCCCCTTTGCCTCATGTTGGCTTTGGATGTTTGGGTGTAAGAAGGCTGGCAGAGCCACCTGAGTAGAGATGTGTCCTGTGATCTCATGTGCACATACTTCAGCAGGGTGGTGTGGCTTCACATCTGGAGCATTCCAGCTGCTATGTACAGAGTAGACCTTGACCATACTTTTTCTTCTTCTCTTCCCAGAAGCCCATTCAACAGTGACCACAAAATATGGGATGCCGTCCAGCCACTCCCAGTTCATGTGGTTTTTCTCTGTTTATTCCTTTCTGTTCCTTTATTTAAGGTAAAAATTCAGTGTTAGGTTTTGGCTGTTAATATGTTGAAACACCTGAGCTAGATGGCTCCCTTGCTGTGTGCCACTTCAGTGATGGAATTAAATCTGAGGAATTGTACAATTTACTGTGGCTAGAGTGGATGAAGCATGTCTATCTCAATCTGAGTGTAGGACTGTAGTTGCCACTGCTGAAAACTGAAGGGTATGGGTGGTTCTTCTATGCCTATCTGGGTACAGGTCTCCTGATTTGCTTTTTTCTAAGCTGTGATGATCCACCAGTGTAAGGGAAGACGAGGAGGGGGGGGAGGAACAGGGAGGAGGAAAGAAGAGCTGCTTTCTCATGTGTCTACTCAGTTTTGTCAGTGGGGTTGTCTGCAATCTTTTAGATAATACCTGTTGCCCACTTGCATGACATTTTAGTTCATCTCCCTTACCAGGTACTGGTTTTACATGCTGTGCTATGCTTTTCTGAAATTCTTGCTGGGGCATGGCTCTGTCTTGTGGCTCCATGTGTGGAGGAAGACAAAACTCACAGTTCCTCCTAGCTTTGTGGACGATGGAGGGACTCTGACATCTTGGCTCCCTGTTGCATATGTTCAGCATGTGCCTTTCACATCAGTTGCAGTAATGGTGAGCATTCTGCCTTCCATCACAGCAATCCCTGTTAACAGTTGGAGAGAAAGAGAGAAGTGTGGATTTCTGGCTTCTCTTTAACTGCTGCCAGGGGGACAGATTGCTGCTGGGATGGTATTGAGCTGCCCATGACCCCAGTGGAGTAGAGCTTTCCTAGGGTTTCAGAGCTAGTAAGAACAGAAATAAGGACTGCTCAGCTCCCTGCCACTGTGCTAATGGCTCTCCATCTCTTTCAGAATGCACCAAACAAACAATGCGAGGTTTCTGGATTTACTATGGCGACATGTGCTGTCCATCTGCCTCGTCGCAGTGGCTTTGCTAGTCTCATATAGTAGGTATGGAGCAATCGTTTGTCTTATGCTCTCATACAGTCCTGTGGCCTTTAACAGCCAGCAGACCTGTCATTCCTTATCCTGCATTTCTAATGTAATTCTCGATGACTGCGTTGTACAAATCGGAGCTTTGCGGAAGCTGCTGTGTTGCCATGAGACCCTTCAAATAAGCAAGGGTGCTACATGTGTGGTGCTTCACAGGAACATTTATAAAACCCAGGTTCAGCTGAGCTTCTACCAATTCCCCATTGGCTCCATTGCCATGCTCTAGCCTTACTGCCTCGCCCTCTTTCCAGTACTAATCATGAAAGCATTGCACCATGCCTTGGCACACCAGTATCTGCAGCATGTGGATTGCTACAATTGATCAGTCTGATTGTTTTGCTTGAGCATTAGTTAACAAAACCACTTACAGACATTTGACTTGCAAGATTTAGTTGTATTAAGATGAATAAAAAAAAATGAAACTTTGATAATGATTTTTTTTTCCCCTTTAGTAGATTAAAAAATATATATATATATGCACACATATAAAATGAGCTCCACTAATTGGAAATCAGACAAATTCAGGCTAGAAATAAGGCCATGTTTTCCACAGGAAAGTAATTACCTGTTGGCACAGTTGACTGTACACTAACTAGAGCTGACTCCTTATTACTGGTTATTTTTTAAATTATGATAGGATAATTTCATGAGAGATATATGGTCTAATTCAGATAAAAATTAATTTGAGGAAATCCAGTGGCCTGTGCTAGGCAAAGGGTCAGATAAGATGATCTTAATGGCTTTATGATATATGAGTGAAAAGAATTTTGAATGTGACTCATGTAGCTTGTGTGCACGGATAACTTAACAGACCTTTAATACAGCTTTGTAAATGGCTGCAGTCACAGTAAGCACGCTGGGGTAGGGCAGCCTGCATGCTGTCACATTTGAGAGCAGCAAAATCGTAACAAAAATGCTGTCTCTGTTCTTAAAAGCCTTTAAGCCCCAGCTTTGGTGGCTAGGAGGGGACTTGCCCTCATACTGTCTTTGGAGAAGTCTCTTGTTGGAACTAACAGTAATAGTTCCTCAGCTAATGCAAAGATATATGAAGAAGAATGTGGAGGGTTATTGAGTTAAGCTCAAACTAGAAGGTCTCTAAGCTGAAACTGCTGTAGCAGGGAAGACAGTTTTTCCCCACTTTTTTTTTTTTTTTTTTTGCCAGCTTTTTAATGAAGAAAGCGAGATATCTACTTTTAACATCTGGAGAATAACTCGCTCAGAACATCTGAGGGTCCAGTGAAACATCAGCCTTTGAATCATGCCTTCTCTTGTTTGAAAGCCTGTCTGGTGACTCTTCTCTTCTACTGCAGGGTTTATTTGCTTTACCACACCTGGAGCCAAGTCCTATATGGAGGTGTGGCGGGAAGCATTATGGCCATAGCCTGGTTTGCCTTCACACAAGAGATATTAACTCCTCTCTTCCCAAGGATAGCTGCATGGTAAGTCGTCTTATTCTGTGGAGTCTGCATTCAGGGGATTGCTGTTTTGCTTGTTAAATGAGTCCCATGCAATGAGCTGGTAACTTAGGAGTAGTACAATTACCTGGCAAAAGAAAATTTTCCTAATCGTTCGGTGTAAAAATTGTACCTTGCATCTGAAGCAAAACAAACGTAAAGATACTTTAGTCTCTAAAACTTCAGTTGTGGCTGCGTAAGCCTTGACTGTAAACAGGCTGCTCAAACTTCCATGAACCCCTAAGTTACAGATGTTAGGAATGAAAATTCCTGGGTTCTCTTCCAGCTTTGCATACTGACTGTTGTGTAACCTACTTGTTCCTCCATGTTTTCTCGTGTCTGTGTATTCAAAGGATCATACATCCATGCTTGATATGGGTGGGAGGCAGAGGAACTTTAAGCAACTGTTATGTTTGTTAAGCCCTACTGAAGTCGTGAGGTGTGGCAGAGTGCTGGAGAAGCTTTTGGAGCAGAACAGACCTTTCTTAATGAATGTCTAATGAGCTAGTAAAATTGCAAAGCCATTTAAATATAATATAGTCTGGAAACATAGTAGAAGGAAGGAAAAAAGAAGACCTTTTTTCATTAAATTTAACAAGGAGTCCTTTTTCCAGCCTGAAGGGTGATAGAACAATAATGTTAAATCTGGAGCAGTTTTTATGCTTTTTTTTTTTTTTTTTTTTTTTTAATCATAATTGTGATGGAGAAGTCTAACTGTTTCGCCCTTTCTACCACCTTGTCCATTTCCAGGCCAATTTCAGAGTTCTTTTTAATCCGAGATACCAGCCTCATTCCTAACATCCTGTGGTTTGAATACACAGTCACCAGAGCAGAGGCAAGGTAAGTTTTATTGGGGGGTGGGGGAGCTGTAGCTGGTTTGACTTGTCAGATGTAGTTATTAATTTATTTTCAAATATGTAGAATATGTGGGTAGAATAGTGCAGAGTAAAGAAGTACCAACTTGTGGGTTAACTACTGTGTCTGGAAGGTGAGTCTGTTGGGAAGTGTGAGATTAGAGAATGTTTCATTTAAATGGTATTTTGGCTCCCTAGCCCAAGTGTTTTGCAAGCAGTTGTTTATAGTCTTACATCCACATGTGAGTTTATGCACACTTCAGACATGGTGGATGTTCTCAGGCTGTAAAGAGCAGGAAGGGCTGATCTCCCTGTGGAGTATGGTGGGGGGCAGCTTTCTTTTTGTGTGGAGCTAAGTGAGCCTTGCTTTAATCCTCCTATCTTTTGCCCCTGGTTTGCCACAGAGCCCTGCGATAGGCTTGGGGCCCCCTCTCTCAGCCTGCCCTCTGTGTTGCCGTTGCAGAAACAGACAGCGCAAGCTGGGTACGAAGCTCCAGTGACTCGAAGTGTGGGGACCAGAGTGCACGTTTTAACAGAGACAGACAAGAGCAGAGACCTGGGAGCAGCAAGGAGCCTTTTAACAGACGGACCAAAGGAACAGGCAGGGACCATACCCAAAACCTGAAAGCCTTTGCTCTGCTTTAGCAGCTAGCTGGATGCTCCCTGATGCATGTGGGACCGTGCAGGAGTAGAAACTCATTTTCAACACAGATGCACATTGCCGGTTGGAATGTACCATCATGTCTACGTCAGGGGAGGGGGGAGAAAATGCCTGGTGTCATGTTCGGGGGAGGGAAAACCAAAAATGAATCCTTTCTGTGACTTTTTTTTTTTTTTTTCAGCATGAAATATACACACTATTTATTTATTTTTTTAAATGGAACTATTGTTTTTGGGGTGGGTGAGGCATTGACTGTGTGTTTTTGTTTTTGCTTTTTGTTTGGGTTTTTCTTTTTGGAAGAAGATGACAAAACTAATCTCAAGTTGATCATGCTTAATTAGGGCTTTTAATTTTTAAAAACTTCTTAGGAGGGAGGGCAACTAGGATGGGGTGACCAAGGCAGAAGGGAGTCTTTCTGTCCTTTCTGCAGCAAGTTTGGGGATTAAAATCAATTCCAGCTGCATTTTGTACAGATAGAAAGGAAGACTAAAGATCTGATTTTTTAACACTAGTGATGGTTCTGCAGGGAAGCCTGCATGGATACCATTAAGGGGAGTGTTGTGTAAAACAAAGGAAAAACTGAAATATACTATTATTTTTTTCTCACTGCTGCTCCTGTTGTGTAATTAGCAAGAGTGTCTTTCTCAGAATCTCTTCTAGGTGGCAAGATTGTCATACATATCTCACGTTTATTCCATCTCTTCCTTTATACTTTTATTACCTCAGGGTTGCTGTGATCTGTACAGCTTCTGTTGTTGTACTGAGTGTGCTACCGATGGCACTAGAAAGCCCATTGGTTATAAGCAGTGCTGTGCTCCAGTAAGAGTCAGCCCAAAGCCTTACAAAATTCAGTTGCTAGTCTCTGTCTTAAGCACTGGATTTTTATTTTTTTTTTTTCTGTTAAAGTTTAAGGGAGGGGTTTTTAAGAATGAACAAATTGACAACCATAACTGACTAACAAGGCGAATGACTAATAACTAGCTCAGCTACCATCTGAATTGTTGCTTGAAGAGTCCTGTTAGAATCTGTGAACTCAAGCAGTGAGCTTGTCCTAGCAGAGACTCCTACCCAGTTATTACAGTGGCTTGGTTGGAGTTATGCAGTAGTAACCTTGAATGCTGAACTCCTACAAGCAAGTTTTGCTTTCTATCCTTCTTCCATTCTGATTCTTCGTTTGGCCAGTCAGCTCTCTGGATGCTGTGTCTCTGTGGGAGTGTGCCTGCCATCTGTGTGTGCTGGTGATGCCTACAACTTCTGTGATTCACGAGTTAACCTGGCAAGGGCTATACTCAAAGTGCTTCAGGGCTGTGCATGGACACTTTCTGTATTTCTAGTATATAATGCAGCAGTTCAAGTATAACTACAGAGAAGTATTTATTCAAAGCACAACTGACTTGAACTTTCACAGATAAAGGACAGCTTCTGAACTGGCTCAAAGGTCATCGGTGTGCCTTCGATGCAGTCATGTGAGCAGAGGTAAAATGACTGTCACATCTCGGTCTTGCTGCCTGTTTTACTATCTCCACTTTAACCAGACTCCTGCATTATAAAGCTGCTTGAAGTGAGATGTATTTCTGTTCATCTTGATTATTTTTATTTTTTTAAGTTTTCATCTGTGCCTGTTGCCATAGGAGTTTGTGTGTTTGTATGAAGTGGGAGCTGCTGTAGAAACTGTTGGACAACCGGAGTGTTAACTGTAGAAAGCATTGATCCTGATCTAGGAGATCAGGAATGAAGGCTGTTTAAATTTCTGTGTTTAAGTAGCTATGGATAGCAAACTAACTGTTTTCCATTGTTACAGCAAATATTTTTTTTAAGAACTGTTTAGTATTTGCGTAACATGAGCAACCCTGTTATGCAAGGACCTGAGCACTGGATCTGCTTTGAAGATGCGTCAGAATAAAAAGGCATCTTGCAGCTTTCACAAGGACATTTGATCTGACTTAGAGTAGCTCTATTAAAATGAGACCGGACATCAGATAGGCCCCATGACATGGTGGTACCATATGTTTTACTTTGAAAGCTGGCACTAATCACTTATGTCTTGCAAAACCATGTATTTTCTCTTGTAAGTTAACTTACAAAGCCAGAAGGGAAATCACAAGGACAAGGCCGAGAGAGTGGATTGTTTCAAGAGTGGCTAGCAGTTCCCTAGCCTCTCAAGCTGTTGTGACAGACTGCTGGAAAAATGGTATGTGGAAGCACCTACTGAGAACTAGAGCATAGGGAAGAGGTTTCATCTCCTATTGGAGAGCAGTGTAGTGTAAAAAGCTGTTCCACTTCACGTTGCCTTCAAACCCAAGCTTCCTACGGTAATTCTTAGGAGTAAGGGAGAGGAAGAAGAGCTCTTGTAAGACAGTTTAATAAACTATCCTCTGCTCTTGGAGTTGTTTGTAACCTGCATCTTCTGCCTACTTTTGCTGTACCTTTCCAGAAATCTTTGCACTACTTGATACAGTAGAAATTCCTTAGTGATCCCATGGATTTTCTTAACTAAATGGTGCTGTGCAGGAAAAAGATTTGAGCTCTGCCTTATCCTACACTTGTATGAAGTCTCCTGCCACTAGTTTTCTGAAATGGAGTATTTTCTCTGGGGTATGTGGCTTTGCAAGCAGATGCTTACTATTCCTCCCCTGTACTCAAGGGGGCTGGATGGAGGTACTAAAACAATAAAAGGAAGGTGACAGAATGCTGTGGTTCACTGTTCTTGCTGTCCCCACACAAACATCCTCCCCTAAGGGTAGTTATGTAACTTCTGCAGTGTCTGAGATTTAAGCCTTTTTTGTAGCACTTATCTGTTTATTGTGTTTCAGTTTATTCAAAGAACATTTCAAAACTTTGCATGACATGGATTACACTACTGAAACAGTATTTAACAAAGCTAACCAGCAAAGCATGCAACACTACAAGGCTGTGTCATAAATTGCACTCATACCCCAAGAGTTAACTGAGTATTTTCAGTCTATGCATTCCTTAAATTATTTGTTCCAAATTGGTAGATTTTCTGGAACTTAAGTTTCTTGTACTTAATGTGCCTTTAAGACAATGGACATCTCTTGATAAAACAATCAGAAACAGGGAGAACAGCATTCAGTAAGTCAACACCAGGAAAATCAACAAGGTACGAATCAGAAGGACATCACATTTTTGAAACTGTACAATAAGAAAAGACTTTTTAAAGGAAAAACCTTGTAATAATTTTAAAGTCCTTTCAAGCGCTTCAAAAATCAGCTTCATTCATCTGAATTTCAGCTGCGTTTATCATTAAGGATGCATTAAGTGGTTTATGAATCTTGTATCTTTCAGTGTGATAGTCTGCTTCTCGCAGCTGTACTCTGCTGAAGCTAGTGGGATATCCAGATTTAGAGCCAGAACAGATCGAGCCCATCTTCTGAGATACAGTCACAGCAGTGTGTACTTCTGCTTAATCTTTAATAGGCACTTTCCTTTGAGAGCCTTCCCCTTTGAGACAGAAGTAGAAGAGGGCCAGTCTCAAATACTTAAGTGGCAATACTGTAGCATCAGTGGTTGAAGGCATTGCAGACAGAGGAAAATAACTCATCCCCTAGCAACAGAGGTTGATTCAGTACGGGGGGAGGATTACTTTGGCAAAAGGGAGTATTTTTTCAAAGTAAAAGGCTCCATAAACCCAGATGTTATTCCAGCAAGGTTTTGTCTTTTCTGTAGTATTTACACAATGACTTGCACTTCGATAATACTGAGTATCCTCTTGCAGTTTTCAGTCTAATTCTTAGAGGAGTTAACAGAGCAAGGATGTGTGCTTGCTGGTTTGCAGTGCTCCTGTTGGGTTTTTTTAGACTATCTCGCTCTATTCAGGATTCTTCTAAAAGATCAACTAATTCCATGTAGATGATGTGAAAGTGGCAGTTCATACAATCACTGGCTGTGCAGGTGAGTTTCAGTTAAATTTTAATTTTCAAGGTTTATTTAGGTATAAGATAGAAGCTTTGAAATAACATCCTTTTAGGAAAAAATGCAATACTGTTGACTTGTGTCTTTCAAGAAGCAAATTAGAATTTTTTTTTTTCTTTAAACAGATTTAGTGCAAATTTCTTCATGTATTTTCACAAAGGCACTTTGATCATGTCCCTTGTTCTATGATCAGAAAAGTAGCAATTATGACCAAATATTTCCCTGTTAACAAAACAGGCCATCAGCCTCCTAATGCTTCTTGTTTATGGTGATGTCCCAGCAGCCACATCTTGAAGGATGTGCAATTTTAAAATACTAAATTCCTGTTGCAGAAATACCACTAGAATTCTGCATTACCGTATGGTTTTATTAAATAAAAATAGAGCCAGGAGTTTGGATTCTGGCAGATTCATTGGAAGTAGTGCTTACAAAAACTCCTATGCTACAATTGTATGTTAATGTTTATATATAATCTTTTACTGTCTCAAGTTTGTCAGCTGAAGACGAACAGACTATTATGAGATCATTCTCTCACAGAATAGAGCTGGCACAAATCTGAGTAACATTGCAGTAAGAAAAAACTCCCAAGAGTGGTAGAAAAGGTTCTGTACTATTACTGCAGGAACAATGGCTGCCACAGTGCACAAATGTCTACAGTGCCCATGTGTTCTCAGCTTTCTTCCTGCTTTTCAAGATTTTCTGCCTTGTTAAAGCAGTGATGTGAAAGAAGGGCAGATTCTGCAGCTGTTTTCTCTTTGGCTCTAGCAGATTTGAACTCTGTGGGCCAGAAATGAAGTATGTTCTGGAGTTCCTGATCAGAAACATTCTTATTTGTCCACAACTCAGGCATAATACATTATGCACAACTATGCTGTTTCTGAAAGAAAGGTATAAAAATGCATTGGGTTAACGTGTACCCTGAAGGAGACTAGGCATGTGGCCTTCTGGCTAACAAACAGGTCAGCAACTTTTTCTTTTCCTTAATCCAAAGAAGGGTACAATGAAGCAATTGTCCTGCTGAATGCATAGGCAATCCCTTCTCATCTCTGCAAATGTTAAGGTACATAAAGCCAAAGCTAGGAAGACCTGTATGAGAGAGTTTTGTAGAAGCTTTGTGGGGAACAAGCTTTACGCTGAGCCCGAAGATCAGTGGCTCTGACCACAAAAGCAAGTTTAACAAAAAGTCCAGAACAACAACAACAAAAAACCCACCTTATTTTGTAGCAAGTTATATTCTGTTGTTGATAGGGTCAGTGCAACAGAAAGGACATCCCAGCATCCTAAAATAAGGGGAAGGGAACATTCCCAGGTCTGTGAAGCATGTAATGGTTGGAGTGCCTGGGACAAGTGGTGCAGTGCACTCTAACAAGATTCAATCTGCTCTGACTTAAGAACTTGTTTCTCCCCTTGCCAAAGTTCAATGGTAAAGTTTTGCTGGAGCAGCAGAAAAATCTTCAGTCAAGTTTGAAAAGTGCTGCGCTCTTCAGAAGACTAAACCAGCAAAAAGACTTGGTCTGACAGTAGTTCCATTAGATAATAAACATTCCCTGCTTTTCCTCGAGAAGAACTGCTTTCCTCACCACGTGGATTTAGATACTGGTAAGGACTGTGCTTTCTGTATTCCTTTACAGTAAGTTCCATAAAAATAATATTTCAGTCCTCTTTGAGGACAGGAAGGTGCACTTTGCATTGATGGGAGAGGACCAGTCAGTTCTACTTAAGATAGTTTCCTCTCACCACAGTCAAATGTCTGCAGATGACTATTGTGTAACTTATTCCTGAAAACAAATGGTAGATGCCCTCCTAGATTCCAGGCAGGGGAAGCTGTCCCCGCAATCATTTTCTGAGGAACTGGGAACTTCAGCGCCTGAGGGATAGCCCCTTTAGTTGGGGGTTTTGCATCATGTTTGCCTCTTACAGTTTGGATTTGGGAGTGGACTGGAGCAAGATCCTCATGTCTAGCAGTGCTTTCTCGAGATAATGTGCCATGCGGGCTGCGTTTGTGTCAGCACAGCTGTTGAATGCTGAAATTGCAAAGTTGATATGTTCATCCATAGGGTTGTAACAGATTCCATAGCCATCTGGAACCACGGGACCAAAACACATCACACAGTCTGTCTTTGCTGGGACCTGTGGAGACAATGTGATTAAAAACTTGTAAGCAGTCAGAGAGAAATGTAGCCATCAAATGCTAACAGCTCTGTCAACAGTAGAAGAAACTGCCATCTCGTTAAAATGCTCTAGAAAAGGGCTTTTTTTGGTCAGACCCACCTACCACCACACGCATGATGCATTCTACCATTTAGTAGCAATGTGTTTTCCTATGCATTTGCAAAAGAGCACTTCTCCCTAAAATGAGGTTGTAATAAGTCACAAGCAGAACTGTATCAGTAAGAATCACAGCACAGCAGCTGAACATAAAGCTATTCTGACAGCTAACTTCAATTGATCTTACTTGCATTTAGACACCAAACACTTCTGGTGATCTTGGCTTTGATTATGATAGCTTTTTACAGGGTTGAGAGGGACTGGCAGCTGTAAGATCAGATCTGCAGCTTTTTGGGGTTGGTATCAGGCTTAAAAATTTTTGTCCCCAAATGAAGATCAGCTTCTAACAGAAGGGAATGAAGGAGAAATGAGAAGAACAGCCATGAAAAGAAACAGAGCATGCACGTCTGTCTTTGCCCAGGTGGGTCCTACCTGGCTGGTCGAGAGATTGAAGTGTGTTGCAACAGCATAGGCCGTGTCCATGAACAGCTCAGGCATGCTCACTAGGTCCTCGATAGCTTGAAGCTTCAAGCCTAAGAGGTGACGGTCTATTGCATTGCCCCTTATTGCCTGTAAGGAAGGAAAACTAGATGAAAGCCTGTCTAGCAGGAAAGCAAGCAAAATGATCAATTTCTTTGGGTTAAAGAAAAGAACACTTCTCAAAATCTCTAAATGTTTAAAGGTAGAAGGAAACTAGATCTTCCCTTTAGGACCAATAGTCTTGTCT